GGGAGAGGAGGAGGGAAGGGAGGATGGGGAGGGGCACTGAGGCGGGGGGAGGAAGGAGGAAGGAGGGATACTGAAGGGAGGAGGGAGGAGTGGGGACACTGAGGGGAAGAGGGAGGAGCAAGGCTGGGCACTGAGGGCAGGAGGGAGAAGGGAGGAGGGGCACTGAGGGTGGGGGCAGGCCCTGTGGGCAGGTCCTAAGGGTGGGGGAGGGGTAGGCCTCCTGCAGGAGGGGCGAGCCCTGGGGGTGGGCATGGGGCAGCTGCCAGAGCCCTCCCTGAACTCCTGGGGAAGCCGACTGTGCCCAAGGGTTCTGAGGTGAGGGTCCCAGAGCAGTGGCTGACCCACGCCCCATATGTGCCCCGCAGTGCGTCAGGTACGGCTGGTCCGGGGCCTGCAGGCAGTGGAAGCGCAGGAGCAGGGCACAGCTACCATGGAGGTGCAGCTGTCGCACGCAGACGTGGAGGGCAGCTGGACTCGGGACGGTCTGCGGCTCCAGCTGGGGCCCACGTGCCACCTGGCTGCGCGGGGTCCCACGCACACACTCACGCTCTCTGGGCTGCGGCCTGAGGACAGTGGCCTGGTGGTCTTCAAGGCAGAAGGCGTGCACACATCGGCACAGCTCGTGGTCACTGGTGCGTGGGGGAGCCGGCGGGACACAGCACAGAGCACATCCGCCTGTCCCAAGGGGGCCCTGGGGAGGCCGGTGGGGACTGTGAGGACCTGGGTGAGCCAGCCCCATATAATTCCGTCAAGCTCGTGCACTGCCCCATACTTGTCCCCGTCCCCGTCCCCGTCCCCACCCTGAAGGCTCCTCTGAGCCCTTTTTCTCCTCTCACCTCCCGCTTCCGCCTCCGCAGAGCTGCCCGTGAGCTTCAGCCGCCCACTGCAGGACGTGGTAACCACCGAGAAGGAGAAGGTTACCCTGGAGTGCGAGCTGTCTCGTCCTACTGTGGATGTGCGCTGGCTGAAGGTGCCTCTCCGCCCCCCGCCGCCCAACTCCGTTGCCCCCTCCCCTCCCCTCACTTGGGTGGGCCCGAGTGGAACCCCAGGACGGAGCCACCTGAGCGCCTGACTGGGCCTCTGTGCTCCTCAGGACGGTGTGGAGCTGCGGGCTGGCAAGACAGTGGGCATCGCGGCCCAGGGCGCCTGCAGGAGCCTCACTATTTACCGGTGCGAGTTCACAGATCAGGGCACGTATGTGTGTGATGCCCATGACGCCCAGAGCTCCGCCTCTGTGAAGGTGCAAGGTGAGGGCTGCATGGGGCACGTGGGGCGTGGCAGGTGTAGGCACCTCCTCCTGTACTCCATGGTCCCCAGCCAGGGGCTTGGCCGCTCTGCTTCCATCCTCACGACCCTCAGCGTGCTGGGGCACTGGGTGGGGCGCACCGGGCGGGGGCTGCTGGGAGTGGCTCTGTGCATCCGGGGCTGGCTGGCAGGGCCTCCCTTGCCACCCCAGGCCGCAGCATCCAGATCGTGAGGCCCCTGGAGGACGTGGAAGTGATGGAGAAGGACGGGGCCACCTTCTCCTGCGAGGTCTCCCACGATGACGTGCCTGGCCAGTGGTTCCGGGAGGGCAGCAAACTTCGTCCCAGCGAGAACGTGCGCATCCGCCAGGAAGGTGTGAGGGCAGGCGGCTGCGGTGGGTATGGCCCGGCCCGGGTCCTCCTCTGCCCTACCCATGCTGAGCATCCCTTGTCCCTAGGAAGGACATACACACTCATTTATCGGAGGGTCCTGGCAGAAGATGCAGGAGAGATCAAATTTGTAGCCGAAAATGCAGAATCGCAAGCCCAGCTCCGAGTGAAGGGTGAGGTGGGGGCTGAGGGGAGGGAGGGCGGGGCCTGGATGGTCTGTGTGTGTGGCCAGCTGGCTCAGCTCAGGCCCGGATGCCCCAGGCTGGCTCTCAGGACCGGGACAGCAAGGACTCACGAGGAGGGAAGGGGCTGTCACCTCCCTGGCAGGAAAATAAGGGCTGGAGAAGCAGCCATGAGGGGATTTTTGCTTAAAACCAGGGTCCTGATGAATTCTCCCTCAGGCTGCAGCGAGTGCTGGAGAGACCCGGCTTGAGGCCCTGCCAGGGCGAGGGGTGGTGGGGGCTCCATCTGCTGGCCCTGAGGAGGAGGATGGCTGGGGGGAGTGGTGCTGGGGTGGCAGGGAGGGGGCTCTGTAGATGCGAGGGGTGGGGACGGGGGGGTGGGGCAAGCCAGAGGTTTGTGGGGAGGGACGTGATTCCTGGGGCTGGACTAGGGTATGCAGTTCTGGTGCCGAAATGGGGGCTTGGGGAGAGGACTGGAGTGGGTGGGCTACATGGGCAGGGCCTGCCCTGCTCTGGGCGGGACCTGGGCAGTGGAAATGGGAATGTGGGCTACGCTGTGGGAAGGGGGCAGTCACGGAGGCAGACACACTACTCTTGCTGTTGGTCAGCTCTGTGTAGTAGGTCCTAGCACAGCTCCTGGGGCACACTCGGCCTGGCCACCCTGACCCCTGGTGGGCAGACATGGCTGTTGGGAGCTAGTTGGGTCCAGGCCTTTGGCTGTCCAGGACTCCCAGTGCCTTGTCAGAGCCTGGGCCTGGGAGCCCTGAGCACTGTCTCTGACCCAGCCCCATCACCACCACACTCACAGAGCTGCCAGTGACCCTCGTGCGCCCGCTGCGGGACAAGATCGCCATGGAGAAGCACCGCGGCGTGCTGGAGTGTCAGGTGTCCCGGGCCAGCGCCCAGGTGCGGTGGTTCAAGGGCGGTCGGGAGCTGCAGCCCGGGCCCAGGTATGAGCTGGTCAGTGATGGCCTCTACCGCAAGCTGGTGATCAGTGACGTCCAGCCGGAGGACGAGGACACCTACACCTGCGACGCTGGTGATGTGCAGACCAGCGCACAGCTCTTTGTGGAAGGTGCGGGCAGGAGGGCAGCTTTTGTGTGTGGGGGTGTCTCTTGGGGTCGTGGTTTGCCCTGTGCTCCCGGAGACGCTGGGTCCAGGCAACTCAGCAGGATGCCAGCATGCACGTGGCGGGCAGGGGCTTGTTCCCAGGAAGGAACCTGCCGAAGGGGCAGCCTGTCCTTTCCTCGGGACCTGCCAGCGCCGGCTTCTCCCCACAGAGCAGTCCATCACCATCGTGCGGGGTCTGCAGGACGTGACGGTGATGGAGCCCGCCCCTGCCTGGTTTGAGTGTGAGACCTCCATCCCCTCAGTGCGGCCACCTAAGTGGCTCCTGGGGAAGACGGTGCTGCAGGACGGGGGAAACGTGGGCCTGGAGCAGGAGGGCACGGTGCACCGGCTGACGCTGCGGCGGACCTGCTCCACCATGACCGGGCCCGTGCACTTCACCATCGGCAAGTCCCGCTCCTCTGCCCGCCTGGTGGTCTCAGGTGAGACACGGGGCAGAGCCACAAGAGGACAAGGTTCAGGGCTGCTGGGAGGCCTGGATGGGGCTGTGGGCGGGTACAGGGCAGTGCCGTGGAGATGACTCAGGGCAGTGAGTGGGCACAGTTCAGGGTCATGAAAGGATGTTGTTCAGGGCAGGGGGAGGACACAGACCAGGGCCACGGGGGACACGGCTCAGGGCCGGGGGAGGACACAGACCAGGGCCATGGGGGACACGGCTCAGGGCTGGGGGAGGACACAGACCAGGGCCACGGGGGACACGGCTCAGGGCCAGGGGAAGATAGTTCACGGAACGGTGGACGCAGCTGTTGGAAACAGATGCTTGGTGCCGAAAAGAAAAATCAGCTCTGAGACAAAAGGATCTTTCAGAAACGCTGTTTTTATTTTCTGGGCTGCAGGAAGGGTACCCTCACTAGCCATCGTGCCATGAAAGTACAGTGAACAAAGGAAAACACACACATTTATCCCTTACGCATCTGGGGTCATCCTTACTGCTGTGTCTGATCTCTGTTGGCTGGAGCCAGACCTCACCATCTAAACTAAAACCTGATGGGCTAACAACTTAAAACTTTCTAAACAGGTGAAAGCAACGGAGAGCTGGGACCTGCCTGTGAGCACGTCCAGCACAGATGTCTTAGTTTAAGTACAAGGACACAGAATGTACTATGTGTCTGTAAGCATGGCATGTCTAACAGCTACATAGGATAAGGCTTAACAGAGTTACTAGCACACTTATGATTTAACAAGAAAGAAAACTTTTAAAAGGAACTTTTCTACTTCCCACAGTGGCTCAGGGCCAGGGGAGGACTTGGTTCAGGGCCATAGACAAGTAGGGCAGGGTTGGCAGGCAGGGCAGGGTGATTGGTTCCTGTGGCCCTGTGGCCCAGCCTGTCCCCACTCCCTGCAGACATTCCTGTCATCCTCGCACGGCCGTTGGAGCCCAAGACGGGCCGTGAGCTGCAGTCCGTGGTCCTGTCCTGCGACTTCCGGCCGCCCCCCAAGGCTGTGCAGTGGTACAAGGGTGACACGCCCCTGTCTCCCTCTGAGAAGTTCAAGATGAGCCTGGAGGGTCAGATGGCCGAGCTGCGCATCCTCCGGCTGGTGCCTGCTGATGCTGGTGTCTACCGGTGCCAGGCGGGCAGTGCCCACAGCAGCACTGAGGTCACCGTAGAAGGTGGGGCATGAGGGGCACGGGGCCACTGAGAGGGTCTGGGGAGGGGTCTCCTGGTGGTATGGGCGCTGAGGCCCGCTGTGTCCTTGCAGCACGGGAGGTGGCAGTGACAGAGCCGCTGCAGGACGTGGAGGTCACGGAGCAGGGCCAGGCCAGCTTCTCCTGTGAGCTGTCCCATGAGGACGAGGAGGTCGAGTGGTCGCTCAACGGGACACCCCTGTACAACGACAGCTTCCACGAGATCTCCCACAAGGGCCGGCACCACAGCCTGGTGCTGAAGAGCGTCAGGAGGGCCGACGCGGGCACGGTGCGCGCCTCCTCCCGCAAGGTGTCCACCTCCGCCCGCCTGGAGGTCCGAGGTGAGCCGTCCCGCGAGCCTGCGGGGGCCCCCACTAGGGATGGGACAGCGCTGTGCTCCCCTCACCCTCCCACCCCTCCTGCAGCAAAGCCGGTCGTGTTCCTGAAGGCTCTGGACGACCTGTCCGCTGAGGAGCGCGGCACCCTGGCCCTGGAGTGTGAGGTCTCTGACCCCGAGGCCCCTGTGGTGTGGCGCAAAGACGGCGTGCAGCTGGGCCCCGGCGACAAGTATGACTTCCTGCACACGGCGGGCACACGGGGGCTCGTGGTGCACGACCTGAGCCCTGAGGATGCCGGCCTGTACACCTGCCACGTGGGCACCGAGGAGACCCGGGCCCGGGTCAGCGTGCACGGTGTGTGGCTGCGGGCACAGGGGAGCTCCGGGAAGGGGGGCACGCTAGGCTTGGGGGTGGGGCCGGCCACCACCTGGGCGGCCCACGTCGTTCTCCGAGATTGAGGGGCTGCTCTGCTGAGCTGGAGAGGCCAGGGGGACCTCCTAGGGGAACCATGGCTTGACGTGGTCCTGTGAGGCCCGGGTGCAGGCAGGTGGCCCCGGGGGTGATGGGTCCCAGAGCCAGGGTTGGAGGCTGTGCTCTCCCTGCCCAGTGTGCTCCAAGGGGCACAGCCAGGGATATTGCCCTGAACCAGGGGCTGTGTCTGCGCAGAAGCCACCAGGCCAGTGTGGGGGCACCAATGGGGATGACCAGGCAGAAGCTGAGATGCCAGGCAGGGGCCGGGAGTAGGCTGCATCTCTGTCCTTCACAGGGCCCCAGCAAGGCCCCAGAGCCACGGGGCTGGCAGGATGGAGCTATCTCCAAACCCAGTCTTGCAGCCTTGTGGGCGCATGTGCCCTGGAGCCTGCCTGCTTCTCAGGGGCAGGTCCCCCAACTGCAGGGCAGCTGCCTGGCCCCGTGTGTGCCCACTGTCCTGGCTCCATGACTGGGAATCCCCATCCCAGTCCCAGTGGCATCCTGGTGTGGGTGACAGGCGGCATAACAGGCCTGGTGACTGGTCCCCGACAGTCTTGTAACGAGATGGGGACGGGGCAGGAGGCGGTGAGTTTGTCCTGGAGCTGGGCCCAGCGCCTCCTTTCCTCCCTGTGGCCACCGTGGGTCCCCCCTCTCCCTGCCACCCCTGTTAGAGCTCAGAGCTGTGGTTACGCAGATGCCAGGGTGCAGCCAGCTCCTGCAGAGGGGTGTCTTCTCATTGGCTGAGGCAGTATCCCACCCTCCCCCTCGGGGCCTGGCCTCTCCCAGGGTCTGATTCCTCTAAAGGACCAGGGGGATCCGGCTCCTCCTGGGGTCTGGTCTCTGCAAGCTCTGATGTCTCCCAGGGTCTGGCCCAGGGCAGTGCCATCCCCTTGGCTGGCCTGACAGTCTCCCATGGCCGCAGACCTGCATGTGGGCATCACCAAGAGGCTGAAGACAGCGGAGGTGCTGGAGGGGCAGAGCTGCAGCTTCGAGTGCGTCCTGTCTCATGAGAGCACCAGCGACCCGGCCACGTGGACAGTCAGCGGGAAGACGGTGGGCAGCTGCAGCCGCTTCGAGGCCACACGGCAGGGCCGAAAATACGTGCTGGTGGTCCGGGAGGCTGCGCTGAGCGACGCTGGGGAGGTGGTCTTCTCTGTGCGGGGCCTCACCTCCAAGGCCTCACTCATCGTCAAAGGTGGGCGGGGCCTGCTAGATGGGGGCTTGTCACCCGGGCTGGGGAGTGGGGAGCCTGGGCCTGTCCCCAGGGGTCCAGGAGCTGGGCTCCCCAGCTGCAGAAGCTGCTGGGGGTGCTTTTGGGGCCTGTCTCCCCCCCGCTGTGGCTCAACTCCCCTTCTGGAAGCCTCGGGGCCTGAGGCACCTGCTGGGTTCTAGGGGAAGGGGCCACACTCTGAGCTCTGATGAGGGCCTGGATTCTTGTCCAGTCCGTGGTCCGAGTGCCCTGAGTGCTTGGTAGCTCCCCAGAGCTGGGGCTCACGGGGCCAGTCTGGCAGCACCGGTCTGAGGCCCCAGCCTCGGGCTCCGCTGATGTCACTGCCAGCGCCTGAGTTGGCACCCCTGATGTGCACGGTTGGTGCAGCTCAGCAGGCGGGGCTCACTCCTGGGACGCCAACCATGGCCACACCGAGTCATTGGCCTGAAAGATGCCAATGGATAAAATTCTGTGGTGGTTGATCTTCCTGCCTCCCGGTCCCACGCTGGTGACAGTGGGCACACTGGCATTCCAGGACTCTGAGGCTCCTGAGGGTGGAGGTGCCCAGAGTTTGAGGGTTGCAGGTTCTGTCGCCTTAGTCATCAGAGAGCGAGTGTTCCCAAACGCTCGTCCTTGCCCCAGTCCTGGTCTTGGCGGAGGAGGAAGGTTTTGGCTGGGTCTGTGCCTGGGGCTGTGGCTGGCACCATGGCCCTGGCTGGGCCTCAAGGGCAGCTGTCCCTGCTCCCTTCAGAGAGGCCAGTGGTCATCACGAAGCCCCTGGAAGACCAGCGGGCGGCGCCAGGGGAGGACGTGGAGCTGCGCTGTGAGCTGTCGCGGGCGGGCACCCCCGTGCGCTGGCTGAAGGATGGGAAGGCCATCCGCAAAAGCCAGAAGTATGACGTGGTCTGCAAGGACACGATGGCCACGCTGGTTGTCCGTGGAGCCTCACTCAAGGATGTGGGCGAGTACACGTGTGAGGTGGAGGCTTCCAAGAGCACAGCCAGACTCCGCGTGGAAGGTAAACGCCACGGGAGCCCCGTGCCTGGCCCTGGAGCGTCCTCACTTCCCTGGCGGGGCAGGGGGCCACCCCTGGAGCCCGAGCTCCTCTGTCCCAGCTGGAAGGGCTCACCCAGGTCCCAGTGCTTCCGCAGCCAGGCCTGGACGATAATGGGGCCAGCACGGGCCTCACGCCCCACTTATTCTGTTTCCATCTCCCTGCCCAGAAAAAGCAAACCGCTTCACAGAGGAGCTGGCCGACCTGCAGGTGGAGGAGACGGGCACAGCTGTATTCACGTGCAAGACGGAGCGCCCCGCAGCCACCGTGACCTGGCGCAAGGGCCCCTTGGAGCTTCAGGCCTCAGGGAAGCACCAGCTCAGCCAGGAGGGCCTGACCCTTCGGCTCACCATCAGCGCCCTGGAGAAGGCAGACAGCGACACCTACACCTGCGACATCAGCCAGGCCCGGACCCAGGCCCGGCTCCTGGTGCAAGGTGAGGCGACCACGTGCGTGGCCCAGGCTTTGATGGCACTGGAGACTTGGTGGTGGACAGGCCTAGCTTCGGTTTCCTATCATGAGGGTAGTGGAGTGCTCCCTGGGTGGCCACTGAGGCTGCAGCGTGGCTGTGAACGAGCTGCCAGCCGTCACTTCCGCGTGTGTTTATTCGGTCACTGTGTGTTTCTTCCGCATGCGTGGGTGCCTGGCCCCATGCGTGAGCTCTGTGTGTACCTGCACATGCACCCTGTCACCCTTGTCCCAGAGGGACAGCCTGACTCGGCCATGCCTGGCAGCCTCAGGTGCCCCCAGGGAAGAACTGACGGTCATTAGGGTTGTCACCCAGAGTTACTCTGACATTTTGGTCTTTCTCTTGTTGCTTATAACAGAATACCTGAAACTGGGTCATTTGTAAAGGAAAGTAATTTACTTCTTACAGCTCTGGAGACTGGGAAGTCCAAGGTCAAGGGCCACATCTGGTGAGGGTCCTTGCTTCAGGGACTCTCTGCAGAGTCCCCAGGAGGTGGCACACGGCATTCCATGGGGAGGGGGCTGAGGGTGCCAGCTCGGGCCTCTCTGTATCTTCCTGTGAAGCCACCACTCCCATGACAGTGCTTTAACCTGTTAAGCCATTGATCCGTGAACGGACTAATCCATTCCTGAGGGCAGAGCCCGCTCACCCAATCCCTTCCTAAAAGCCCCACCTCTTTGTGTTGCCACATTGGGATTAAGTTTCCGGGAGCAGGTGGCTTTTTGATCTTACTGTTTGCCTCTATGGTTGAGTGGCAGGCAGAGTGAGAACTGTCCTTTCCATGCTGTAGATAAGAAAACTGAAGTTTCAGTGGGTCCATGGCCAGGGCCAGGTCGTGGGGCCCATTGGCGTCAGGGCAGGAGAGTCCCCGCCCCTCACTATAGCCTCCACTTGGTTCTGCAGTCCTGGGCTGGTGTCCAGACCTGAGTTTGCAGGAGGTCCCTGCTGGGGTCTGACCACAGAGCATTCACAGTGTCCTATGTATGAAAGGCCCCAGGCTTGATCATCAGAACTAACACAAACCAGGAATCATCACTGATTTTTCTGCAATGGATTTGGTGACCCTGGTGAAAGCATTCCGTTAGCACAGCAAAGCTCCATGATCTCAACTTGGTACCCATAGTTAATGTTTTAAAAAATTATCAAAAGTGGCTGGGCTCACGCCTGTGATCCCAGCACTTTGGGAGGTCGAGGCCGGGAGATCATGAGGTCAGGAGTTTGAGATCATCCTGGCCAATGTAGTGAACCCCGTCTCTACTAAAAATACAAAAAATTAGCCGAGTATGGTGGCATGCCCCTGTAACCCCAGCTACTCCGGGGGCTGAGACAGGAGAATTGCGTGAGCCCAGGAGGTGGCGGTTGCAGTGAGCCGAGGTCGCGCCATGGCACTCCAGCCTGGGTGACAGTACGACACTGCCAGAGTCTGTCTTGAGAAAAAATAAAGCCATCAAAAGTGAGAGTCACAAGATAACAAAAGTTTAACATGGCCGGGTGCGGTGGCTCATGCCTGTAAGCCCAGCACTTTGAGAGGCCGAGGTGAGTGGATCACAAGGTCAGGAGTTCCAGACCAGCCTGGCCAACATGGTGAAACCCCATCTCCACTAAAAATACAAAAATTAGCCAGGTGTCGTGGCGCACGCCTGTAATCCCAGCTACTCCGGAGGCTGAGGCAGGAGAATTGTGTGAACCCGGGAGACGGAGGTTGCAGTGAGCTGAGATCATGCCACTGCACTCCAGCCTAAGCAACAGAGCGAGACTCCATCCCAAAAAAAAAAAAGAAAGTTTAACCGATGAGGATGTGGGCCGGCTTGGTCAGGGAGGCCAAGCCGCTTCCGTGTGCCATCCGCCGATGAGAGCTTTGTCTGTGCGCGTGGCCCGGGCGGGGTCGGCCTCTGTGGAGTCACGCCTGCGGGGCACCGTGTGCACAGAAGGAATCTGAATGCAGGGCCCGTCTCGATATTCATAAACGTTGTCTCTTACCATTCCTAATTCAACTGCCAAAAAGCCTCATTTCTAGGAATTCACGATTTCCATCTTCCAATCATTTGATTTAAATTTCAACACAACTGTAGCTTTATTTATTTTTTGTTTTTGAGACAGAGTATTCCTCTGTGGCCTAGGCTGGAGTGCAATGGCGAGCCTTCGGCTCACTGCAACCTCATCGTTCCGGGTTCAAGCGATTCTCCTGTCTCAGCCTCCTGAGTAGCTAGGATTATAGGTGCACGCCACCATGCCTGGCTAATTTTTTTTTGTATTTTTAGTAGAGACGGGGTTTCACCATGTTGGCCAGGATGGTCTCAATCACCTGACTTCATGATCCACCTGCCTTGGCCTCCCAACGTGCTGGGATTACAGGCGTGAGCCGTCGCTCCTGGCACATTTTTTCACACTCCTGTTTCATCTGTTACTAGAGGAGTTAATTTCATGGCACAATTGTAATGACACGCACAGCCGGCATTAGCAAGTTTGGCAGCCGGCCGCTTCTGGGAGCACAGCTTGGAAAGTGGGCAGGACTGCGCCGGCGTGGTCCTCAGCAGGCCGTGGTCTTGCCCAGCAAGCCTTGCAGAAGGGCTCCCGAGGTGCAGAGAGGTGGGCTCGGGGCTCCGAGTGGCCCTCAAACAACTATCTTTGGATTGTTCAGCTCTGACCCACTTACTGTTTTTGGAGTTCTGTCCCTGCAAACTTGTTAAAACACAGCCACCTTGCTCTGTCCTGGGGAGTGCCTGTCCTGGGGAGCCCCGCTGGCCAAGCTACCCTGGACGCTGTGGGGCCCCCAAGCAGTCTGTGCCTTTGCAGGCCGGCGGGTGCACGTCATCGAGGACCTGGAGGACGCGGATGTGCGGGAGGGCTCCTCGGCCACCTTCCGTTGCCGGATCTCCCCTGCCAACTACGAGCCTGTGCACTGGTTCCTGGACAGGACACCCCTGCATACGAATGAACTCAATGAGATCGAGGCCCAGCCCGGGGGCTACCATGTGTTGACGCTGCGGCAGCTGGCGCTCAAGGACTCCGGCACCATCTACTTTGAGGCGGGTGACCAGCGGGCCTCGGCTGCCCTGAGGGTCACTGGTGGGTCGCATGCCCGCGTTGCCCACGTCGCTCAGGGCTGCAGCCAGGTGGAGAGGCGGACATAGTTCAGCCAAGTGCCCGGTGTCCCTGGGCTCACAGAGAAGGCCCCATTGGCCTTCTGTGGGGCGGGGGAGCTCGGAAGGCTGAATTGGGCTCTTTCGGGATGAATCCATCTGCGAGGTTTGCAGAACCGTGCTCGGCGCGGTCCGGGCCAGGCTGTATCCCCCGCAGGACAGGAGCCTCACTGTGGTGAGGAGGTGATGGGGTGAAGTGCCAAGCCTGCCCTGCCCTCTCCACAGCCTGTTGCATGGTCCCAGCGCGAGGGTGGCTGGTGGGTGCCAAGCCAGGGTGTGGTCTGGTTCGCAGTGAGAGCCAGGGTTTCCCCATCGGCCCCTCCGGCGGCAGTGTGGCAGCGTCCCACATGCTCCTGCTTCTCTCTGTGCCCCCCAGAGAAGCCAAGCGTCTTCTCCCGGGAGCTCGCAGATGCCACGGTCACAGAGGGCGAGGACTTGACCCTGGCGTGCGAGACCAGTACCCGCGACATCCCCGTGCGCTGGACGAAGGACGGGAAGACCCTGCGGCCGTCCGCCCGCTGCCAGCTGAGCCACGAGGGCCACCGGGCCCAGCTGCTCATCACCGGGGCCGCCCTGCAGGACAGCGGACGCTACAAGTGTGAGGCTGAGGGCGCCTGCAGCAGCTCCATCGTCAGGGTGCATGGTGAGCCCCAGATGCCCGAAGCCCAGCCATGGGCTAGGCACCTGCCGCTCTCTTGTCAGGCAGCACCAGCTTCAGGGCAGGGTGTGTGCACCCCCAGGGAGCCCAAGGCAGGATGACCCGGGCTCCCATGCATCCTGTGTGGGGCGCCCCTGGTCCCCATGTGCTTCCTGGCACTTCCTGGCACCTGCTCCACCCTGCTTGGCTCCTGCCCTGGCCTCTGCCACCCACAGGAGCCACCCTGCAGACCCTCCGCCTTCCTGAAGGGCCATCCCTCTGCAGGCCTGTGTGCCCATCTCCCTTTTTGTTTTTGAGTCGGAGTTTCGCTCTTGTTGCCCAGGCTGGAGTGCAGTGGCGTGATCTTGGTTCACTGCAACCTCTGCCTCCCGGTTTTAAGCGATTCTCCTGCCTCAGCCTCCTGAGTAGCTGGGATTACAGGCACGCGCCACCACGCTCAGCTAATATTTTTTGTATTTTTAGTAGAGACGGGGTTTCTCCATGTTGGGCAGGCTGGTCTTGAACTCCTGACCTCAGGTGATCTGTCCCCCTCAGCCGCCCAAAGTGCTGGGATTACAGGCAGAGCTGCCTCGCCCAGCCCTAATCTCCCTTTTAAGAGGTGCCACCATGGTGGCTGAGGGCCCACCGTGACCTCATTTGACCTTATTTCCCTTGTCACAGCCACACTCGGAGGTCTGGGCTAGGGCTTTCATCCGTGAATTTGGGGGGCACAGGTCCCTGACACCTGACTGTTCTCCCACTTGATTCACCCTTTCTACCCCTCACCTTCAGAGCTGACCCTTTCCAGAAGTCCTGAGGTCCCTGCCACAGGCCCCACAGGAGAAGGGGGAGGCGGGATGTACCCAGCCCTCCACCCCCTACTGGGGACCCCTCGTGGACTTCAGGGCAGGGGGGTGAGCTGAGCCTGTGCCTATCTGCAGCCCGGCCGGTGCGGTTCCAGGAGGCCCTGAAGGACCTGGAGGTGCTGGAGGGCGGTGCTGCCACACTGCGCTGCGTTCTGTCATCTGTGGCCGCACCTGTGAAGTGGCGCTGCGGGGACAGTGTCCTGAGGCCAGGTGACAAATACAGCCTACGCCAGGAGGGCACCATGCTGGAGCTGGTGGTTCGGGACCTGCGGCCGCAGGACAGTGGGCTATACTCATGCTCCTTCGGGGACCAGACCACTTCTGCCACCCTGACAGTGACAGGTAAGCATCTCTGTCCACCATGCCCATGTGGCCCAGCGATGCCGCCGCCTCCAACACAGGTGACCAAAGACGGTGCTCTCTGTGTCTGTCTGACCCTCCTGCAGCTCTGCCTGCTCAGTTCATTGGGAAACTGAGGAACAAGGAGGCCACGGAAGGGACCACGGCCACGCTGCAGTGTGAGCTGAGCAAGGCGGCCCCCGTGGAGTGGAGAAAGGGGTCTGAGACCCTTAGAGATGGGGACAGATACTGCCTGAGGCAGGTCGGGGCCGTGTGTGAGCTGCAGATCCGTGGCCTGGCTGTGGTGGACGCCGGGGAGTACTCGTGTGTGTGTGGGGAGCAGAGGACCTCTGCCGTGCTCACTGTCAGGGGTGAGACCATGTGTGTCCAGAGTCATGTCTGGTGTCCAGTTTTTCACGTCTGCCGTCCCAGTCCAGTCTTCCTGACTGTGCCATGCTCCTCCCAGCACACCATAGAATCCCTTCCCACTTTTGGGGCCGTGGAAGGAACCAGGAGAACCCAGCATCTCTAGCCAGACTCCTGCCCTCCAGGCACCCTGGGGCATGTCCTGTGGGAGTTGTCTTATTCTTGTCTCGCCATGGCCTGTCCCCAGTGCTCCCCAGTGTCTGACCTCTTCTGCATCTGTCTGTCCATCCCTCCCCAGCCATACCTGCCCACTTCATAGGAAGACTGAGACACCAAGAGGCCACGGAAGGGGCCACGGCCACGCTGCGGTGTGAGCTGAGCAAGGCGGCCGCCGTGGAGTGGAGGAAGGGGCGCGAGAGCCTCAGAGACGGGGACAGACACAGCCTGAGGCAGGATGGGGCCGTATGTGAGCTGCAGATCTGTGGCTTGGCCGTGGCGGATGCTGGGGAGTACTTGTGCGTGTGTGGGGAGGAGAGGACCTCTGCCATGCTCACCGTAAAGGGTAATGACTGCCCCTGGCCACATACACGGGTGGTTGTGTCTGAGCGGTGTGCACATTCCTGCCCTGTGCCCATGTCTGCGCTGTGGCCCTCCCTGTCTTTATTGGTGTGGTTCCTTCATTCCTTCAGTAGGGATTCCCCACACCTGCTGTGCATGACCCAACTTGGGCAGGAAGACAGCAGAGAAGAGAGGGCCCTCCCAGCCCTACCGGGTCACAGGCAGAGACAGGGCATGTGGGGAGAACTAACTCATGGGAAGATCACAGATCTTCTCTAGGGAGAGCCAAATCATTACGAGATGAGATCACAGACCTTCTGTAGTGTAGACACCAGGGAGGCAGCAAGGCAACCAGGAGGAGCCCCAGGAGCGGAACACAGATGGGGGTGGGGGGATGGGGGTGGGCTGGTGTGCACAGCCAGGGGTGAGGGGCCGCTGTGAGGAGGAGAGAGGCAGGGTGAGCCTGGGGAGGAGGTGACGGGTGAGGGTGGGGAGGAGGTGAGGGGTGGGCGTGGGGAGGAGGTGA